AGATGAAATACAAGATGATCAACACTCACACACAGCAGAGCATGCTCAGTCCTCAACATGTAGAGCAACTTCTGTTTTTGCAGAAGAATCTAGAGGTTCCAGTCCGTGGTGAACTATGAACTGGAAGACGTAGACACTTAAACATTTTAATTCATTCTATGATTCTAAAACATCTTAAAAGCTTAAATGCTGAATTGAGGATATTTGAGTCATGATTTTATGTGTTAAATGTGCCCATCAGTTGCTCATTTCAAAAGGGAGTCTAGCTGTTAATGTACTACCTGAGCCATTTGTTTGATTTGTTTTTGGAGTACAGCACTTCTAAAAGCTCTTATTTTACCAAACTATTTTACCAAAATATTTTACTTTGCACTGGGCAGTTTATGGTTGCATTTTTTGTAGTACCAATTACCTCACGTCCACCATTTGTAGCTAAAGGCAAACATTTAGTTTTGTTTGAACAGCATGACAGTATGACAGTTCACCAGTTACCTAATGGACTGTAAAGTTGAGTGAAATAAATAAATCCTAGTGGCGCTTTGGCCCAGAGGCAATGTCTCTGTCATTGGTGTGGAACCCCAGGGTTCACCTCCTGGGCAAGTTCGAATCCCAGTTAGGGCGGTTGGTACCTTCCAGTGGACTCACCACCCACAGGAAGGTTTGGTACGGTGCAATGTGATTTGGGTGGCGACTGCTGCCCCCGCGACCCGGTAACGGATAAGCGGATGAAAATGGATGGATGGATGGATGGAAATAAATCCTACTCAAGGATGACATTGAATACTGTTTTACCTGAAATTGATTCATTCTGTTTTTCTTCTTTTCTTCTTCTTTATCTTCTCACCTCAGATCGTGGAACGTAGGTCGTGGAGTGGGAACTGCTCCAGCTGTATATATAAACTGTTGTGTTCACGGCAGTTATTTAAAGTTTTATGGCGGAAATGAACTTTTCTGTGGCTGTTGACTGCACTGACATTGTTTACTTACACAGACACACATACATTCATAAGTGTGTGTGTGTGTTTTGTTCTTTTTTTCTTTTCTTCCTCTTACCTTTTATTTAATCTGCTACTTGTTACTAAACTACTTTTACCCGTCATCCTGTCATCTTAATTCTCTCCTCTCTTCCTCTTCCTCCTCCTCCACCTCCTCCATATGAAAAAAAGTAGTGGACGATTAGCCACAGTGCATCCCTCTAAATCCACTCCATC